GGGGGGGGGGGGGGGGGGGGGGGGGGGGGGCTTGAGGCTCTGTCTAAAAAAAAAAAAAAAAAAAAAAGAAAACAAGTTTCAAACCATTTCTTTCTATTTCATCTCCCCACTCCCACCAACCATTTTACATTTTAAGTACCGGAATTCAGTTCAGTTGGCCTTTAAGATTGGACTGAAAAAGAGTCTTGCTGAAAGTTTCACAGTCACACCGATTATGAACCAGGAAAAATGTGGTGAAGTGAGTCCCTTGGCCAGAGTTCAGAAGGCCAGGCACAGGAGGCGAGGCACCTCGGTCACCACAACACGAGGACGCAGCAAGGCCTCTCACAAGGCTTCTTATTTTTTATTTTTTTTGTAGAGACAGCCTCACTTTATCGCTCTAGGTAGAGTGCCGTGGCGTCACACAGCTCACAGAAACCTCCAACTCCCAGGCTTAGGCGATTCTCCTGCCTCAGCCTCCCGAGTAACTGGGACAACAGGCGCCCGCCACAACACCCAGCTATTTTTTGTTGCAGTTTGGCCAGGGCTGGGTTCAAACCCACCACCCTCAGTATATGGGGCTGGCGCCCTACCACTGAGCCGTAGGCACCACCCCTCACAAGCCTTCTTACTCTCTGTGCACCTGTCTTCACAGGGAAGAGGCTGCTTTCCCCAATTTCAAAATGCTTAGACACAAAGTAAACAGCTGGGTAACAGGGATAAAGTCTATCCAATTTTGTGGGCCAGGAAACAGATGTGCAATTCCAGAGTTGGTTGGAAGCTGAAGAGAAGCAGGTAGTGTTGCTGTCATTGCCATTCGTCAGGGACGTCAGTATAACATCTAAGTGTGAGGACTTAGGCCATTACATAAGGCTCACAGCCGATGCATCTTCCAGAGCAGGGCCAGTGCCCCCGGCTGCATGTCACAGGCAGTCCCCTCTCATAAAAAGCAATGCAGTGACCACACACAATCAGAGGGGCCATGGAGGAATGTGGACAGGCCCCTACAGGGCGAGCACATGAGGTGGCACGGCGGGCACACGGAGGCACAGAGGGGCCACAGCTGAATGCAGACAGGCCCCTACAGGGCGAGCACACGAGGTGGCACGGCGGGCACACGAAGGCACGGAGGGGCCACAGCTGAACGAGGACAGGCCCCTACAGGGCAAGCACAGGAGCTGGCACGGAGGCACATGGAGGGGCCACAGCTGAACGTGGACAGGCCCCTACAGGGCGAGCACACGAGCTGGCACAAGGGCACATGGCTTCCTTGTTTGTTCAGCCCCACCCCTAAGAGGTATTTCCAGAATTTAGGTCACTACCCTTGGCAGCCTTGCTTCATACACAAATACTCCGAGGTTAAAGTTTATGAAGTGTGACCTGTTTATCAACGACTAAGTTCCATTAGCCTCGGCTTCCAAATGTGAATTCTTACCGGCGGCCACAGTGGGATGGTCACAGTGCCTGGCTTGACTACAGGTGGTTGGGTGGGGGTGGGCTCATAGCAGCCAGAGCCAGTCTCATCTGCCAAGCATCTCGGAGCCTCAGGAATGAGGGGCAGAGTGGGGATAGCTGGCATCAGCACCCCCACCCCCAGTGACGCAGGTGAGGACCCCTCCCAGCCCAGATCCTAGCACTCTGGATCCAGAGGGTCTGGGAGGGGACCCACGGTACAGGTGCAGGACTGGGAAGGAGGAAGCCAGGAGGCAGACAGCAATGTTGGGTACTGTGCCCCCACTCCCCAGGCTGGAGAATGCCAAGTCTGCCACAGGCTTGTTAGGTCATTACTGGAGTTCACCATGTCTCCCTTTTAGCCGGCTGTGAAATAGGAGATCCCAACCTTCAGATGAGAAGCCTGAAGGAAACCTCCACCCCAGGACAGTAGGATGAAGGTGGGGCTGCCTGAACTGATGACTGGCATCTCTGAAGTCTTGTGAATTTGGAACGTGGAGGGCAGTGTTTTTTTCCTGTGTTTTTTTCTGGAAGGCCTCTCTCTACCTGCTGTACCCAAAACCTGACCCATCCAGTGCTAACCAGCCTGGGTGCAAAGTGCCCTCGGGCCTCTTCTGCAGACACAACTGAATCCCCCATCTGGGCTCTGACACTGGCAGAAGGCAGCGACCCTGGTGGGCCAGAGAGAAGCCTGAGCAGCAGACAGGGTTCCCAGCCGTGCCTCTGTTTCGAGTTCAATGCCAAAGAGTTCCAGTTTTCCCAGGACGCGCCAGCTCACAGCCTCTCTCTCACAGATGTTTGAAAGCGGGGCTTGTCCGACGAGAAGATTAGAAAAGGATATACGAACTTGTTCCCCATACTTTAAAGCAGGGGGGGAAACGAGGCTTGTTGTAAAGAGAGGACACAGAACCTGTTTGGTAACTTGTCATTTCAATGAAAACATGAACCTCTCTGCAGGTGAACACACCTGACTCCTGCCCTGTCTCCTCCCACCCTGGCGGGGACCACAGGCAGGGAACAAGGAGAAACACAGAAAAACAAGGCGTCTGCCCATTTGGAGAACTCCATTATTTGATGACGAAAGTTGAAGAACCCATGGGAGCAGCTGAAGGGGGGAAACAGTTTATTAATGTTGCTGTGTCACCACGATAAAACTCACTCAGAGAATCAATGCTTTCATTGTGCGCGTTGCCACTGGGAAAACATCGGCACGGCAATCACACGTTTTGGTATAAAAGTCAATTGTTGTTGTATTTACCTAAATTCTCTCTCTCTATTCCTCTTTATTAAACGTTAAAGAACTGATTTCTTAGATCACCTGTGTAACAAAACCCGTCACCACTGAACCCTCTGAAAGGTCAGACTCCTTGCAGCTAGCCTTGTAGGAATTGAAAGAAAACCTATTTCTGATTTTTTTTTTTTTTAAGAGTTTCACTATGTTGCCCTCGGTAGAGTGCCATGACATCACAGCTCACAGCAACTTCAAACTCTTGGGCTTAAGCGATTCTTTTGCCTCAGCCTCCCTAGTAGCTGGACCTACAGGCACCTGCCGCAATGCCCAGCTATTTTTTGTTGCAGATGTCGTTGTTTAGCTGGCGGGGGCTGGGATCAAACCCACCAACTTCGGTGTATGTGGCTGGTGCCGTAACCACTGTACTACAGGTGCCAAGCCAAATTTTTTTTTTTTAAGACAAAGGTCAAGCCTAAGGGCTCCATAAGGCCTCACATAGTCCACTCAGCTTTTCACAGAAGCTGCTTTCCAGCGAGGGATCATACGGTCTGAAGTGAGCTTGTGCAGGGGGGATGGCAACATGGGCCGTGCTGGGAGCCACCTGTCCTCTGAGCCATCCTCAAGGGTTCCGAGGTGGTAACAGTGCAGAAAACCTGGGCTGTTACATCTGCCGCCCCGCAGCGGCCCTGCCCTCACAAGAGGGAAGGCAGCCCACAGGTTTCCTAATTTTGTTTTTCTCGCTGTTCGTTCCTGGGCCTTTCTCTTCAACCAGCCTCACAGGAGGAAGAGCAAATGTCAAAATTTCTGCTGGTTTTGTGAAGATCAGTCTGTACACAGGGGCCCAGGTAATAAAAAAGAAAAGGAGAGAACTGAAGCAAATGCTGATTATTCTGGACACTGCCAAGTGTCACCCTTGGGTGGATGAGACTCTGCTTTGGCCATTTGTACATACCTTTCTCAAAGCATACTTTTTTTTTTTTAAGGATTAAGAGTTTCTTAAAAGTGGAGACTGAGGCTCGGCACCTGTGCCTTAAGCAGCTAGGGCGCCAGCCACATACACTGGAGCTGGTAGGTTCAAATCCAGCCTGGGCCTGCCAAACAATAGTGACAACTACAACCAGATAATAGCTGGGTGTTGTGGTGGGCGCCTGTAGTCCCAGCTACTTGGAAGCTGAGGCAGGAGAATTGCTTGAGCTCAGGAGTTGGAGGTTGCTATGAGCTGTGATGCCACATTGCTTTACACTTTACCCAGGGCGACAGCTTGAGGCTCTGTCTCAAAAAAAAAAAAAAAAAAAAATGGAGACTGATCCATTTTCTTCTTCCAAGTATCACTTGGAAGAAAAAATAACAAACCTAGGCACTTAAGATTCATTTTTTCCTTTTCATTGCCGTTTTGCTTTGAAACCTGTATGGTCTTTCAAATTACCTTGAACCAGATGGCCTTTAAGAATATCACCTCACAGCTGGGCGCCTGTGGCTCAAGTGGCTAAGGCGCCAGCCACATACACCTAAGGTGGCGGGTTCGAATCCAGCCCCAGCCTGCCAAACAACAACGACAGCTGCAACCAAAAAAAGATAGCCAGGCATTGTGGCGGGTGCCTGTGGTCCCAGCTACTTGGGAGGCGGAGGCAGGAGACTCGCTTGAGCCCAGGAGTTGAAGGCTACTGTGAGCTGTGATGCCACGGCATTCTACCCACAGGGACAGCTTGAGGCTCTGTCTCAAAAAAAAAAAGAATATCACCTCACATAGTCTGGTCAGGAAACTCATGCCCTTGGCACAGTAGGGTCTTTGTTAACACAATACCTATACATATAGGTGAGTTCATTAGCAACTAGAATTTGAACTTCATTCAAAAATTACAGCTTTCATTACTGTGGTTTTGGGTGCAGGAAATGACTAGAGTAACAGTCTAATTATGAATAAATAGAAGAAACTGTGGAAAAGTAGAAAGGATATAATTCTTAAAAATTATGAATATACAGAAAGGATATGCCAATTTAAAAGAAAGCGATGGAGAATATATAGTATATAACACAAAACCAAAGTTGCTTATACAGAAGATAAAACTAAATTTATTGTTCATAAATGTGATGACGAGAATATATTAATAGGCAGTCAAGTTCACCCTGCTCACAATGAAATCACGGGATAAGATAAAAAGAAACAATCCTTACAGACACAGAATAGTTAAAACATTATTCATATCAAGATCTTCATTAAACACTGTCTGGCATTTCTCTCTATAAAAAGGAAACAGCCCTCATAAATCCTTTAAACAAGTTTAACATAAACAAGAGTAAAATTGAAAGGAACTATGTTTAAAAGTTGTAAAATGAAAGCACCTATTTAAGATCATCAAGAATCTACGAGATTCTTATTACTCATGAGAGCAAGAGCTGGGTGAGATACTAACCTGCGTAGATCTGTGGGAAAAATGATAGTCATTCATTTTATGTAACTTATAAGGCAAAATGAAGACCATGAAAAGCGCCCTTCACAGCACGTTTCAAAGTCTAAATTTAAGTAATATTCGATGAGAAAGAGACAGACTCTGTTACGGTGCTGGCTGAGGCACCAACACGGTGTGACCGCTCGCAGCTGCCCTTCCTGTCTATTTTTAGAGCTTTAAGACTCCAGCCTTAAATAGTTTTGATAATAATGCTTGTGGGTACAACTCAGCATGTCAGACATAGTTGAGGAGAAAACCACTTTTTTCCCTGCTGTGTAGCCTAACTCTTTGGGTTTTCTCTTTTGAATTAATCCTGAGATCGTATTCACGGGATGTCACCAATTAAGGACCTTTAAGAATCTTCTGTTTTCTGCTGTTTACTGGCTACCTTGAACATGCAAAACTAAAATCAGACGATCAAGGAGATTAATCTGTTAAAACCACCCTTCCTATAAAGGCAACTATCGTGCTCATTTGGAGCTGGGGATATTACTTGAATTGGAAACAGGGGACACGTTGTTGAGGGAAAAGCACTTTCGGTTCACCGAGCTGTCTTGGAGATGCGTCCTTAAGAGACTTCCAGGCTGGGGAGTGGCGATTTCTTGTCTCGTCATCACCTTGTGGAGGACGGAAGTGCTGGCACTCTGTAGCTACTGAGGCGGGTTTTCAGAAGCTTATTATTTATAATGAAGGTGCGTGTGTGCACACACTACCTGTGTACACGTGTGAACAAACGTGAACCCACACACATTCCTATGTACATACACACACACAACGCCGGCTCGTACACACGTCCCAGTAAAGCTGACCTTGTAGTCCAGGGAGGTTCTCAAAATCACCACCTTTCCCAAATTGAGCCCTTCTATTTCATTCCCACAACTCAAAATTACAGAAAATCATACTCTGAAAGTTTCATTCCAATTTGCAGTATAAAAAAACTGAGCAAACCCAATTGTATCAAGAAAGAGAAGTATATCTAGGGCTAAAGTACCATCCTTTGTATCCCTCAAAACCAAAAAACGTATATTAAGACATTATAAACATTTTATAAGCAGTTCTTTTTTAAATTCTTAGGAGAAAGGCAAGATCCTGAGTAGAAAGGACCTAAACTTCCTGTGATGTGTACTGAGGATAAAAGTCAGACCAGAGAGTGACAGAGCAGACCCAACCCCCCCATCCGAAATCACGTGGCATTTACAGATCAGGGAAACTGACAGATTGTTTTATTTTATTTTTCGTGAGACAGAGTCTCACTCTGTTGCCCAAGCTAGAGTGCCATGGTGACATAGCTCACAGCAACCTCCAACTCCTGGCCTCAAGCGATCCTCCTTTCTCAGCCTCCAGAGTAGCTGGGACTACACGTGTGTGCCACTGTTCCTGGCAAAGTTTTAAAGATTATTCTTTCTCTGAGTTCTTGGAAAAAGGAAGGAGACAAGACACAGGCCTGATTCTCTTTGGAGCGTTACTCTCTCCCCACCTGCTTGGCTCCACGGTCACCAAACCTGGTGCCTCTTGGCTCTGTCCTCAACGGGGCACAGCAGAGGAACACAGATAACTAGTTGCTCCTTATGTCCATTTCGGGCCACGCAGCTCCTGGTGTGTGGGATGAGACCAATCCGAGCTGATGCTCACACTTCTCGTTTCGCCCTCCCATGCCATCCTGCCGCCCAACTGGCCCAGCGGCCCCAGTAGCAGGTCCCTGTCACATCATGTCAGGAGTTCTCCTTGAGCAGCCCGAGCTTCCTCAGGGCTTCGCGCCTGGCCTCCTCTGAGGAGCCCCGGCCGGAGAACTGCACAGTGATGCCCTGGGGCCGGAAGCCCATGGCCCTGGGGAGGGAGCCCGACCGCCTCCGGGCGTCCTGGCCACAGTCTGGCTGGCGGGGCTCATAGCAGCTCCTGCTGGCACCCTGGCGTGCCAGCCTGCTGGGAAGGGCCGGGTCTGGGCGGATGGTGACCGTCTTCCCGGCCGGCACGAAGGGACTGGGCTCGCTCGTCAGCACGTCGTGGATGGTCTGGAAGCCGTTGGCCAGTGCCGGGGACTCGGTCTGCACGCCTCTGGACTGCTGGCCCCCGGCCTGCCCCCCTACCTGGGGGCCTTCTGCTTCCCTGGCCGAGCCCTGCTGGCCCAGGTCACTCAGTGCCCGCTCTGGGGAGGAGCCCCACCTCTGCTCAGGGATGTCGCCCCTCAGTGGCCGCTCCTCCGTGTCCCCCACTGTGAGGAATGAGACACCATTGATGTTGGCCAGCACCTGCGCTTTCCGCTCCTGCACGCTGACGGCAGCCTTGGAGATGGTCTTGTTGAACCCCTTCCCTGAGCTATTGGTCAGGCTGATGTTGCTGGGGAAGCGGGGGGCCTTGGGTGTGGGCTGGGCTGCGTGTCTGTGCCACTGGATGTAGTCCCCGTTCCGTGGGGCTGGAGAGGTCGGCGTCCTCCATTCTCCTGGCCTGCTGTCCTTGGAGGGGGACTTGGGCGAAAGGGCCTCATTTCCTCCCAACTTCTGGGCGATCACCAGGGGGGTAGGAACTGAGCGAGGCAGTTTGGGGTGCTCCGCGGGAGGAGGAGAGAGCAGGTCCCTCATAGGCTGGCTCGGAGCTGGAGTGCCAGGTGGGGCTGGGGACAGTGGGAGGGACTCCGGCACGGGGTCTGGCGCTGCAGCCTCCTCAGCGTCTAGGCCCCTGCACTCCAGGCCGGGAACGTTGTCCTTCCTAACAGGTCCGGCCCCTGCAGCGGGAAGGAGAGACCTCATGACCCGCCACCTCATGTAAAAACAACCCAGGATGTCCCTGTTCCCCGAACTCAGGCCTCAGAGGGACATGATGACACCAACTTTCACAGTGTCCCCTACTCCTTGTGTCCTGCACCAGGCAAAGAGAAAGCAGATTATTCTCATGACCACAGGCTGAGAACGAACACACCTGTGATGGAGGAAGACCCGCAGATCCCATCAGCACCATCAGGCTTCCCGGCACCCCCGGACTCTGAGGCTCCTTCACCCCAGGCCGGTGACAGGAAGAGGCAACTGACTCACCAGGGGATTCCGTAAAGGGAGAAGTGAGGCTGGAAAGTGTGCGACCTACACCGACTCCTTCAGCAGCCTCCGTGAGGCACATGGAGCCGTGTCACTGTCCTCCGTGATGCAGAAGTAGAATCTAACAGGCCTGCCTTCAAGCCTCTCCTTTGTCACTGAAGTGACACCAGTCGTGGACCACCCAACACTTGGCTGCACTTACACTCACACCTGTCTCCCAGCCCAAAGCTGTGAGCTGCTTCTTTTCATCTTTGTTATCTTCAAACTTGCACACAAGGCCTGCACTTAACACTGTTAGGAAAAGATCATGGCTGGGAATTGATGGTTGGGGGCTGGGGGCTAATTACTTTTCCTTTTTAGAGACAGAGTCTCACTTTGTCACCCTCAGTAGAGTGCTGTGGCATCACAGCTCACAGCAACCTCCAGATCTTGGGCTTAGGCGATTCTCTTGCCTCAGCCTCCCGAGTACCTGGGACTACAGGTGCCCACCACAATGTCCAGCTATTTTTTTGTTGCAGTTTGGCTGGGGCCGGGTTCTAATCCGCCACCCTAGGTATACGGGGCCAGCGCCCTCCTCACTGAGCCACAGGCGCCAGCCGTGGGGGCGGGGGGCTTATTTTTAAAGAGTGTTCCCCTTGGCATGATGATGTAATTTGACACTTTAAAAGGATTAGCTGGTTGAAATGACTTTTAGGAACTAATCAAAACAGAAGCATAATAAATGTGGGAATTCATACTGGGTGTCTCCTCTAGCTCCGTATTTACACAGAATCCACAGTTCTGAGTAATGAACAGCCTTGCTTAAAACACACACACACACACACACACACACACACACGCATACATTTTTAGAAGCTCTTAACCAACAGCAGTGTTTTGAAGTTACTAGAGCAAAAAAAGTACTTTCACTTTTATCTCTGCCTCATCTTTTCCAATCCTATCCCCTTGGCTACAGTTGTTTCCAGTGTCATTTCCCATCGCACAAAAAACAATGGGAAGGGATTTCTCTCTATCTCCTTCCAGTTCCATCACAGGACTCAGGAGACAAAAGCACACCTGTCCTTTGATGCCGGAGTCCAGCAGAATGCACCCAAGTGGACCCTTTCCTGTTCCTCTGAACCAGCTGACTTTTCAGACTCTCACCTTGCAAAGTCATGCTACAGAGATGGGCTGAGAATCTTGCACTAAAATACAAGTGCCTCACATATGTTCTGTGAAGAAAACAATTACTACCTGGAAGTAACTTCCAGTTTTCCTTCTTTCCTTCTATACGTGTGTGTGTGAGCCTGATTAGTCTCATCCTAATTCTGGTCCTTTGACATTGCCCTTTGCTGGACATTGAAACTGCCGAGAGGATGCCCCTCTCCTCTCAGACTCCGGAGCCCTCCGCAGCGTCTACACTGCAAACCCGGGAGAAGGGCAGGAGGGGCTCAGTGCGGTGGGGCTGCACCTCACCTTGTGTCTCCTCCTCACCGGCTGCATGCGTCCCGTCCGGAAGATGCTCGGCCTCCCCAGCGGCAGGTGCTGGAACCAAATCGATGACGTCTTCAGGCTCGGAAGGACTGGACGTGCTCCCTTCCAGAGAGCGTGAGGAGTGGTGACGCTCACCACTGTCACACAGGACGAACTCCTCAAAGTCGTCCTCCAGGGAATCAATAGTCTCTTCAAAAAACAGGATGACGTCCTTCTCCTCGTGGGTGAGGTGCCTCAGGCTCTCGTCGTCCTGTAAGACAGGTGTGGAGATGGGGAACGGGCAAGATGGAGTGGACAGCTGTTTCCCTGAGGAGAGAAAGCGAGAGCCGCCCAAAGTGGGGATGGGGCCAGAGCCCACGGTGTTCTTCCCTGATTTCTACAAGTCCCTGCCACTTGGGTCACCTGCCTGACAATGTGCCAAACATCCTCACCATTGTACCTGAAGGAAAAGGATGCCGTCAAAAGGCGTGGCACGTAATGGACCTTCAAGCCTGTTCTGAGCTCTGAACTTGTAGATCCTAGTGAGTCAGTGATGAAAAACCAGCTGGCCTTGGGGACGACCTCGGGAGAGCCGTGTTCAGCCCAGTGCTATCAGACACACTGTGTTTCCACGATAATAAGAAACCTCTGGTTGAAGACAGTGGCTGGAACTCACCTAGTTATCTCCTCTCCTTCCAGAAACCCCACTGAAACAATAAAGGGATTTTCCCCCAGAGGCCCAAATCACAAACAGAAAATGACAGGAAAAGAGATGATGGCAAGAAAAGGAGGCAGTCGGGGAGCAGGACGGGTGCAGACTGTCTGGGAGACCCGGGGAAGGGGCGTGCCCAGTCAGTGGGCACCTGTGGCGCCCTGCTGAGCGGCTCCGGGAGTGCGGAACAGGTGACAGGGAAGAGAGCAGTGTGCTCGCCCCAGCAGAAACCCGGACGCTTATTCTGAAAGAAGGCCCGAGAGGAACTGAAGTGAAGCTGACGGGAAGAAGGTATCAGAAACGTGGGTGGTGGAGCCGCAGTGCCTCCCCCCAGACAGGAGACTGCACCGTCTGCCTGAGGAGTCTGAAGGTTCCCAGGACGGAAGGAGGCAGCAGCCAGGGCTCCCCAGCGAGATCGTCCCACTGGTGAAGGCCCAGCGCAGAATGTTCAGCAGTTCCTTAATGTTCCTTAATATCCTGCTCTAGAGGACATGTGGCTATTTAACAATCAACAAGCATCTGAGGAAAAATGGTAACATGAAAGATACAATGAGATAAAAAAAGCACAGGAAAGCCACCTGGAGGCCACCCGCAGTGTGTGGCATCACCTATCATTCCAGACTCGGAATTCTCGCCCTACTAAGCTATCATTCTCTTACGCTTATTCACACTTAAGTATTTAACAGTAAAAAATGACGACACACATATCCGGCACGCACAGAAAACTTCACAGGGCAGCTGGGGGCGCTGAAGAATGTTTTTTCCCTTGGGGACACCGAATAAACTGTGTGCCTGTGTTTTCACCGTGACTTGTCACATAAAGCCAGGTGTGGAATTTTCCACTTGTGGTTTCACGTCAGTGCTCACAGAGTTTCAGATTCCAGGGCATTTCGGATTTGGGATCCTACATGGACGCTCGGCCCGACGTGCCATCTGGAGCTCCTCGTAATAAAACGTCTGTTAGTCTTTCCCCTACTTTTCTATCAAGTTGTCTTAAAAAATATAATGTGGGCTCAGCGCCTGTGGCTCAACTGGCTAGGGCGTCAGCCACGTACACCTAGGGTGGCGGGTTCGAATCCCCAGCCCGGACCCGCCAGGCAACAGTGACGGCTGCAACCAAGGAATGGCCGGGCGTTGTGGCGGGCGCCTGTGGTCCCAGCTGCTTGGGAGGCGGAGGCAGGGGACTCGCTTGAGCCCGGGAGTTGGAGGTTGCTGTGAGCTGTGGTGCCACGGCACGCTACCCAGGGGAACAGCTTGAGGCTCTGTCTCAAAAAAAAAAAAAAAAAAAAAAAAAAAAATATAATGTGTAGGAGTTCTGCATGTATTCTAGACACAAATGTTTTCCTGGATACGGTTATTGCCAATATCTTGTTTTACTCTTCTCTCTCTTTAAGGAGTCTTTTGATGACTAACCCTTAATTTTAATGTAGTACAAACATCTTGGTTTTTTCTTCCATAGAACTTTTCTTAGGCCCTATTTAGGGAACCACCACCAAATTCACTGTACTGAAGATAATCAACTAGGTTTTATTCTAGAAGAATTATTGTCCTTGACCTTCCAGGTTTAGTGCTTCGACTGATCTGGAATGAACTTTGGCACACGATGTGAGGTCACGATTTCTTGTCTCAAACCATGTTCTTGCGTCTGGAGTTCATCATCTCATGAGGGCTGCTGATAGGAAAATTGGCAACTACTTGACCTTGGGACATCCCACAAGAAGGTGATCAGGGGAGTTACGGAAACAGACAGTAACACTGTGGGAGAAGGAGGTCTGGCAGGAGAAACTTCAGAAGTGAAATGATATATCAGCCAAACCCCTGAGAAGTGACTGGGAGTTAAGCAAAAAGGAAGGGGGCATTTTGGAAAGACTGTGTTGGTTACAGCGCAGATAATCCTGCCTGTGGAAACCATTTAGACAGGAATTAAAGGACATCTAAATGAGGGCAGTGGTGATGGGAATAGGAGGGAAATGGATTTGAAAGAAATTTAAAAAGTAGAATCAATTCCTTACGTAAAATTCTGTTTTTTTTACAAGAGTTTTTCACCACTCCCAGACTTTATTTACACTGGAGGAAAGGGCTGTGTCTGATTCCTCTCTGAACTGCCCACAGAGCTCAGAGGTCCTCTGCATTTAGACTGTCAGCTGCCCACTCACCATGTGTGTGGTGTGACTCTCTGGTGACCAGAAAGTGGAACCCCCTAGGAGTCCCGTGAGACTCATTACTGGGTAATGTTTTAGAACACTGTACACTGGCGGGTCACCTCTTGGGTCCTGACGCATGGCCTGGAACACCCCTGCCTCGTCTGTCCCCCTCACCGATCCCTGCTAGATGATCCAGCCCCCTCACTCTCAGCAGCGCAGCTCTCAGGCACCCTAGGACACCTCACGTTTTTCTTCTTTCCCTGCAGAGCAGTTTAGCTCAGTGATCCAATACAGGATCCTTAGGACCTCGGCATGACAAAGATCCCTTCAGTTAACGGTCATGACGCCGTGGGGTTGCAGGCTGACAGGACGGTGATCACAGCCCTCGACAAAAGCCTTACCCACCACTATTTGTTGAATGAAAAGTCAAGGGAGATATATTAATGCCTTTGATCTGTTTCCCTCTACTGTGAGTTTCCTCATTGAGGGCTGCAGTTGGGTTATTCACAAGGTTTCCAGAGAATCTACTTTGGTTGGAATAGTCATTTTCCTTTGGTTGTAGAGACAGCAGAATTCATGGGGCACTGGCCCCACACAGCCCTTCAGCTACAGACGTGTGCCGATTCCCACACCAAGTGAGGGACAAAATTAAGAATGGATGGGAAAACCCCACATCTAATCCAACCTCACACACAGCAGGCAGTCCCAACGGTGGGTGTCCTAGAAGATGAGCACAGGAAGGTCAGCTCCCACGCACCTGCTGTGTCCCCCACATTGCTGGACGATGCCACATGGCAGATCGATTAGTGTAGCCCCGACATTTGCGCAGGTGGAAACTGGGTTCACAGATACAGAATGACTTCCCAAGGGACAAACAACTACTAGTGGCAAACAATCCTTGCTGGGACGCCTACATAAGCGTCGCAGATCTATCCTGGAGTTCTCCAGCTCCTTTGTAACCCGTGCTCTTTCCTTCACTCTCCTGTGCGTCTATGATGTGCGCGTACAAGGCCCAAATCAAGTTCAGCCGACTGGTCAGCCAGCAGATTCCCAGGTCCTGGGAGGAGTAGATTCTTGCATGCTCAGCCTGCCCAAGGCCTCTCTCTAGGGTCAGGGGCTGGAGTGGGGCTGGGTGACCAGAATATATCCCGGGCACCTTCTCTGTGGTCCACCGGCCTTTAGCCCTGACCCGAGGCAGGACCAACAACCCTGTCCTATCATCTAACCCCCAGGCTGTGCAGCTGCCTCCAAGTGAGCCTGGACTCTGCCCGCACTGCAGTAGAAATGGTGGAAAACTCAGTGCCAAGGGAACTTCAGGGCCTTAAAAGAGGCACACGGCCCTTATCCTGGGGAGTTCCCATCTCCCCCTCATGTTGTCCCAAGGAGACCCCAGACACCGCCTGTCTTGGGCTGAGATGTCAGAGGGAGACACGCAGGTCCTGGGAAGGGGCAGGGCCCAGGCAGGCAGGGACTGCCCAGAGACACAGGATGTCTTTTTCAGGTGACGAAAATGTTCTAAAGTTGACCTTGGTGATGGTTGCACAACTCTGTAAATATACTAAAAACCACTGAATGGTATATTTTACATGGCGAACCACAGATAGGGTGTGTGAACTGCATCTCAAAAAACTGGTTACAGCAGAAAATGAAACAAAGACCAGGCAGAAGCCTGGCTGCCCCGTGGAGGGGCAGGAGGTCGCGGCCCCCAGCGTTGGCACTGTGGGGCCGGTGGTGCTTTCAGAAGCGGTATTTGCTAACTTAGTTCCCGAAGAACTAAGTAGAAAGGAAATGAGGATTGACAGAAATAGCGGCTTTCTCGGAAAAAAAGCGAGTTGGAGAAAGCATAAGTTTGTCCCTATTGCTTTGAAAAGTAGAAGGCTGTTAGGAAAAAAAATCCACTCCTATCAATAGTGTTTTTATTTTATTTGCAGTTTTTGGCCAGGGCTGGGTTTGAACCCGCCACCTCTGGCGTATGGGGCCGGCGCCCTACTCCTTTGAGCCACAGGCACCACCCTAAATAGAGTTTTTAATGTAGCAATTTGGATTATGGAATAAATAGCAGCCCTTTAAAAGGCCAAAATTTCCATAGAACACCATTATCTCACCCCCTTTAGCCCACCATGCTAACTTCAAGTAATGTCAACAAGTCTGAGAGAAACACTGTTTTTTGCTCCAAGAATGACAGACGTGTAATACCACCCTAATGGGATTTTGAAGAAATAATTTCTAAAACATTCAAACCAGAAAATCCAAAATGCCAAATATACTAAGGTAATCAGAATGCACACCGAACAGGCCCCCCATGAAGAGAGTGAGCCCCTGGCCTCACCCAGGTCTCCTCACTTGGCACAAAGATGACAGAAAAACGGGTCTATCTGGCCCCACTCAGGCTGAGAAGAAGGTCTAGACAAAAAG